AAGTAGCTGATAACAGTTTCATTGGGCCATAGTTCTAACGACTAGACAGTTTGCAATATCCGTGAAGAATCACTCCTGTTGCATTCTAAGTGGAAGAAAAGTAATAGCTTTAATCAAAAATGTGGAATAGGTAAATTAATAAATTACATGCTTTTCAGCGAAGAGTTTAGGTTTCTGTGATTTACTCGGAGATCAAGTCAGTTACTAAAATTTGTGCAGCGCATAGTATGTCCTGACAGTGATCTAGATATATAGTCTACAAATAAACATTAAGCATACTTATCATCCTTTTTCAAAATGAACGCTATCTCACTATTATTATTATTATTCACAAACATCTTATGGGTACATAAGTGTTGTGAAGAAACCATTTCGGGTTTCTTCAAAACATGCAATAATTCACAATTTTCAAAAATGTAAGCATTATACTTGCCATATTAAAAAAAACTTAGAGTAATAATAGTAGAATATTAACAATAATAAATCGGTTCTGTGTAATTGAGAAGAATATTGAATTGAGTTTAAAGAAGGAAATGGAGAAAATAAGGAAATAGAAATAAAGGAGACGTGAAATACGCAAACAGTTTAATTGGCGTGTTTATGAACATAAAACCAGAACAAATGACTATGTTTATATCGTCAAATTAGTAACAAAAAATAATTAAGAAAAAACAACTTATTATTGTAGTAAGATATGACGCTAGAATAAATGTTTGTGCAGTCATCGTTTGGAGTAATGCAATGAAAGTCTCAATTCAGTGGAAAGGATAATGAAATATCAATATGTATGAGTCACGTATGCATAGTGAAGATAAAACAGGTCTGAGAAGTTAATTTAAGTGTAACACAAGTTATTGTCTTAACTACAAACTTCCCAGTCTTAAGAATATTTATTTAGAGGGAAAGAAGAGAGAAAAGAAGTGAAAAGTTTCACTCATGATAAGAATAATAATTGCGTAATGAATACCAAACTCAGAAGGAAACCAACAATTTAGAAAAATAAAATAAAAATCCTTTAATGCACTCGGATGAATACACTTAGATTTATGTAATAGTATACAGAGTGAAACCGGATATTAGTATAAATATTTGTGCAATAATAATTAAGAATGATGCTATGAAAGTCACAATTAATTTCAAAGGACAGTCAGGAATTAAAGATGTTAGGAAGGATAAGAAGATATAAAAGGAATATCTAATGTGTCGGGGGAACAATAATGATATTAATAACAGTAATAATTATAGATACGAACATAAGCAGACTTCATATATTAAGATAAATAGAAACAAAATAAAACAGACGTGAAAAGATTTAAAGGTTTTATTTTGCTTTTCAGGTAATTAAATGGATGACGGACCTTGTTTGTATAAATCATTGTTGAATACATTGATATTCAATAGGTGAAATAATCCACTTTTGGAAAGAAAATCATCAAGGAGACCTTTGAACCGGGTTGTAGTTTCACTGCAACGGAGGTTCACTGGCTGTCTGTTCCACATGGTTAAGTAGCGAACAAGGAAAAAATTCTGACGTAAGTTTGTGTGGGCTTTTGGAATCGCTAGAATATTCTCCTTAATGCGTAGATTGTGGGATGATATCATAAGGTATGAAGGGGTGAATACCGATGAGTAGGAAATACCGTTAATAATGATAATAATAATAATAATAATAATAATAATTTATTCTCAAATAACAGTTTGTTACATGAGGCATGCCAGTTTACAGGCAAGATCAAATTGATACAAATGATACAATATCCACTGTAGTAAATTACATAGCTGGGTTGATAATTTATAAGATATGAATGCAGATGGTTTTAATCAGTACTACAGTTGGCGCGCTTCACGAAAGTTGCGTTGCGAATATGCAACTGATGGTTAAGGATAGGTCCACTGAAGGTGGGAGCTTCTAAATGTCGCAACCTTATGTCCCTTTGGAATGTCTAAGGCTTTGAGGATGGTGCAGGATGAAAAAATAAGCCGGTAGATAAAGAAAAGATTTAATTTGATACGTCTGATCCAAAGAGGTTCTAAGTTGAGTTGTTGACATCTTTGGTGATAGTCTTTGATATCGGAATACCCCAGAACAGCTTTGGTGAACTTTCTTTGAACATCTTCAATTTTAATCAGGTCATTGTGCCTGAAATTACTGTAAACTAAGATACCATATTCAAGAATGGGTAAGATACATTTTCTTTATAATAATAATCTCGATTCGATATTATTGAAGTTTATCATTATGAATCCGATGAGCTTTCTAGCTTTGGATACTTGAGATATTATGTGCTCAGAAAAGTTCAAACTGTTGCTATATCTTAAACCCAGGTCACGAACAGTGTTGAGAGGTTTGAGTGTATGTGTGTGTACAGTCAGATTTAAATTAAGGCATCGACCAATGTGAATAAATCCACTTTTGTCAACATGAAGTGGCAAATTCCACGAAACAGTCCATTCGTACAACTTGTTTATTTCCACTTGGATTACCGCTGAAATATAGCTTTCTTTCGTGGGAGAAAAAAAATGAATAAACTACTTTCAGGTCATCAGCAAAAAGGAAAGGCTTGCCATACTGAAAGAGGGAACACACGTCATTGATAAAAAGGAGAAAGAGTAATGGACCAACCACACTTCCTTGTGTAACCCTACTGGTTACATTCACAGGTTTAGAGTAGCAAGATCCAAAGCGAACGATTTGGCTACGTTCTTCGAATTGGAGACTGATTTAAATCAGCATACTCGATAAAAGCAGGCTGATATGGAAGTGACTGCAGATTCTCTGTCGTTTTTTATCAAAGGCTAAGTTATTAAAGTGGGTTCATATATAGATATATCACTAGTATATTACGTGTAACTTACCAACGAAACGAATCGGCGATATGTTAGGGCTAGTGGGAATATGATAAATATGGCACATCAATATAACATCCTTGTCATTCCTCCTGTTCTGCACAAGCTCTAAGCTCAAAACTTCATCTTCCAGGAGCTACATACACTCTAATGTATACATAATGTTACGCTAATCGTTTTCTAGTCGTGACGTTCAAGCATGCTAATGGAAATGAGTGGGCAAGTCTACTCAGTAAACTGATCTGCTTCATTACATACTTTAAGCACTATAGTTAAGTATAGTATTATTATATCGACTAAGCTGAGTTATACGATAACCACAAATGCTAAATTAGACAGATGTCATAATTATTCATTCATTTGCACAGACATGGTAGTCAAGGTAGTCAAATTAAGATAATTATGCCTGTAAACCAAAAAACAAACTATAGGCTAGTAAGACCTACTTAACAGAAGACAAACGATATTGTTTAAGGACTGAAGACAACAGTCACTTATTCATAAAAAGCATAGTTCACAGCACAACAAACCTTTCTCATTTGCGGCCCACTTGATAAGAATCAACTATGTGATTAAACTTACTATGAATTAAGTTGTCATTCCAGCATGCAATGCAAGTCCGGCGTAACGCAGTCAGATATGGCAGATAAAAAATTACAAACAGACTAAGATTCACGGCATAATCTTCTTCTTTGATAAAAAAATACATCGTAATATGACAGATTCTGTGAATTCAAGAACGTAGAAATGACCGTTATTACACTTGACGATACAGTAGGTTTAAGTGGAAACTTTGTGTTTAAATCCACCCGGCAGACCTATTTTCATATCTCTATCTTATGTGAAGTCTATGACGAAATGTCAAATAACCGATAGGTTTCAGGCTTCCACCTTATTACAGAGTTCATAATACTATCAGCAATTCACAGTTTACATACAAAAACGTTACCATTAAAAGCAATATTTAGATATTACCTATCAATATGCAGTAGATCTTTGTTTATAAGTCCGTTAGTGATTGCAGAATCTCTTTATAGATATTTATTTGCAACATCTATAACACACACATCATAAATTCGTATTCACTAACAACATAGTTCAGTTACCACTTTTGAAGCAAAAATGCATTGTTTCACTTATGAAAAATATACCACTAATTAGCGCGACACTTACTGTGATGTTGTACACAAGAACTGTGTATAATCAGAAATAAGAAAGAAAAGACTATCAGGGTCATTTATAACTCGTGTAATTTTTTCTCAGATAAATTACTGTTTGTATCATTCATATCCCT